AAGCGGCTTATAGAACGACTCTGAGTTTTTTTTTTTTAAAGTACAAACTTTTATTTCATAACTCTGTCATCTCTTGGTCGATTTGAGATCTAATTGCAGTTTAGGACTCAGGAGATCAAACCCTTTCGATTGATGTATTTGACCACGTAAAAGGTCTCATAGATTAATTTACTCTAATCCTGCCTAAATGAATTTCAATCTGAGGGTAGGCTGGTAGAGATCCTGATGAGCTATAAAATTGAATCGGATATGCGCGCACCCTATGCTTGATATTGCTGGTGCAAAAAAAAAATAATAATTAAAAAATACAGCGAATATAAAGGAAAAGGTGTCATAGATTAATTTACTCTAATCCTGCCTAAAATAATTTCAAGTGCCGCGGCTATTGAGGATTTCTTGTTATTTTTTTAAGGAAAAGCAGGTGAGGTAAATAAATGACGTGAATGTATCAAACTTAAAACAAGGTAACCTACGTTGAACATAGGTGCTGAGAGTATGAAGGAGTGATTGTTTTAAACCTTTAAATAGATTAAATATGTAAGTGGAATAACTATGTAAAAAATTAAAACAAGGTATCAGTACTAAAAATGAAATCCAAATGTTTAAACACTTCGACAGAAAAACAATTTCGTGCAGTCTTTAGATAAGTAGCTGTTATTATGAGGAACTAAGAAAAATTTCCAATGAAAAACATTGCATTTTATCAAAGATAAGGTATATGTAGGTGTTCAAAATTATATATAAATACTAACATAGACTTGCAAGTACAAAGCACTAACAGAATATATTTCCAAAGGTTTGGCGGCTGGATCTCGTAATGGTGATCCTCTTCAAGGCTGTTCCTTTGGAAAGCACTGACGGCGAAAGGTTAGAAAAGTCTGCCGAGTGCCTCCACCCAAGTCTTTGTGTTAATCCTTTCCACATCAATGTCTCCGTCCGTGAGTTAGACCTCTATTTGGCCAACTTCATTTTCAGCCACGGTCAGTAAAAACTCTCTTTAGTTTAGATATTAATCTAATTCATTGTTCAAAAGGTTCACCTTGGAAATTAAAAATGTTTGTTTTCAAAGCATTACTGTGTATTTTGTTTCAAATCCAGAAAGTATTATATTTGTTCAAGAAACTTGTAATTAGGCCTATTTCTTTGCATCGGATGGATGTATTTGTTTTAAACCTGAATTATTAATTTAATACTAGCACTGTTAAGTTTAACAAAAACGTTATAAGAGATTCTGCGAAAAGCAGGTAACTGATTTAATAACACTCTCAAAGCCTAATGTAATTAATTTTTGTTGAAATCGCTAAGTAACAGTACTTTAAACTGTGTTCAAAACTTAATTTAAGATTTATACCAAATACGACACAAGTTATAAGATTTGTTTAATTTCATCTTATTAAAGAATAAAAAAGGCAAGTTTGTGTTTATTATAAAACACAACTGCAAACTGATACTCTTAAAAAAAGCATGGCGAGTTTATTACAAGGCAAACTAGCCATGATAAGGCAGCAAGACAAATGTGTACTTGCTACAAGACTACAAAGAAAACTTTGAGCTCCTTATAAGAGCCAAATATACTTGTGATAATAACAAGACAGCAAAGTAAAACTGGTAATAAAAATACAGCAAAATAAGAATAGTTCATACGAGAAAAAACAGGCTTATGCGTTAATTATTTTAAAAACCTACAATTTCAATACGGCACATTACCTCCTCTCACATAAATAGCTATTCTCGTTCATTGCCGCCCTCTATTTACAAAAATATTTTTTCGCATGCCACAAGCCTTGAGCTTCCACGTACCTTACAATCAACTGATTCAAATGCTTCTCACATGTAAATCATCATGCGACAACTATCTACCAATAAAAGTGCGACACACTCTCTTGACGCATGTGACTCCCTCTATTCGATTCTACCGAGAGGAGGTAAATACCTATCGGAAATATATTTTCAGTAAGGGAAAATTAAAACGTTAGGTATTTTCATAAGCTGTGAGTTAGGTATTTAAATAACTAATGAGCAAGGTAAACTTATGGTAATAATAAGGCAAGGAAACAAATTTGTGGTAATAATAAGGTAACAAAGCAAACTTGTGGTAATAATGAGACAGCAAGGTAAACTTGTAGCAGTAATAAGACAAGGTGAATTTGTGGTAATAATAAGATCATGCAAATATGTGGTAATAATATGACAGCAAGGTAAGCTAGTGGTAATAATAAGACGCCAAAATAAAGATAATTCATACGAAAAAACGGGTTTATGCGTTAGGTATTTTAATAACCTATTAGTTAGTTATTTTAAAAACTTATGAGCAAGCGTAAACTTCTGATAATAATAAGACCAATGCAAACATTTGGTAATAATATAAAAAGGTAACCTTGTAATATAAAAAATAAGACAGAAAAGTAAACTTGTGCTAATAATAAGACAGCAAAGCAAATTTGTAGTAATACAAATATAGCCAAGTAACCATATTCTCGGGGGCAGATTGAATTCTAAAAGTCTACTAGGAAAAAAGCTAGAGGAGAGCCAGAAATTTATATATTACTAAAACTCTGAGATTGTTTGTTTGTGGTCTTGTCTGTAATTAAATACAGCAAAAACAGCGCAGAATAGCGCCATATTTGTAATGAAATGAGAATAGAAACAGAATAAAACAAGTTTGGTTTAAATCGGGCCACGGGTTACCGAGTTAGCGCAGTTTTTCGGATCACTTTTCGTACATACCATTATTATAAAACTTCGTTTTCCACCTGATGAATCACTTTAAAATCTCTTCTATATAACAATATATGCACAACAGAAATTAAATGATGAGATGAAAATGTGTTATAACGGCGTGTAGAAAGAACAATAATAAAATGGACCTACAATATTACTGACTATTTGCAAATAGTAACTATGGAGACGAGGTAATAAAATAAAAATCAAATCAAGAACAACAACAAAATTTTATAAACGAAAACCTCTCGCCGAGCATTGTCTATTATATTATTTCCCTGTCAATGTTCCCATCTTCATTAAAAGGCGAAAAATGACAAAAACAAGATCTTGAAGAATCTCTCTCTCTCTCTCTCTCTCTCT